CGATTATCTGCCTATCCTATCTAATCATGCTTTTTTCTCTCGTGCGCCAAGCGCATGTGACGTAGCTTTCGTTGTAGAGAAAACTTCTACTATTATTAAAAATTGCAACGTTATCATTCTCTGTGAGTCAGCGCTTATTTATTAAAACGCAAAATAGTTAATACACAATGCTTAAGAAAAGAATTTCTTCTAAGAATAATATAATCAGAAATGGTGCTCATGTAATCAATATTGATATTTATATTGATTATCTCTTTGTCCTTCGTTTCCTTTGTCTTAAATTTATAAATATTATGTTTTTAAAGTGAAAACAGCTCAGTTCTTATGCAGTTCAACTCTTATCTATCTTACGAAGTCTTTTAGCATAATTATTAGCCAAATTCGTACGAAGGAAAATTTATTTTTCGCTGACGACGCGAGGAAAGCTGGTAATATAAATCACGCTAAAAATATCTCTAAAATTGCATCATCAAGTACAGATTTAGATTTAAAATGGTTTTGAAAAAACAAGCCCTGATTACAAATAATATACATTATTTTTCGTTGTGCGAATTATCGGCAATTTAATTAGTTGATAATTTTCATTTGTAAATTCCATTGAACGAATAGATGTAGGATTCTAAAATTGAAACGAGCATTTTGCTATCTCGATGAAGTAAACCACATTAACCATGATAACTCGAAAGAAATCGAATATGGCTTTTGCTTAAGCCATATACTAATACTACGCTAACAATAGATGTAACTTTATTATATACTGCTTAAAGATACTGTAATAATATTCGAATAGCGTGATATAACGGAAGAACACGTGTTGGATTTCGCAGAAGAACGCGTGTTGAAAATTTGCGCGAGCGTTTTGCACTTGACAGAAAAACATCTGCAGAACTGCTGTTTCAGCAGATAAATTTTTCATCCGTCCTCCTTCCTCCTGAAAACGTTCTTCTAAATCTTTTTTTTTTTTCATATTACTGCTTCACGACAATCTCTTTTGCATCTCTGAAAATTCGGAAAATAAAATGGACATGGATAAAGCAAAATGTAACTTTTCTTATCAGCTTAATTGTTTAATTTGAACAATTTTTCAACCGTTCCTCATATGTCGACTTTGCAAACAGAGTAATCATTTGCGGCTAAAGCATTAAAAATGTGATTATCGTCCGCGCTTAAACTCGCTCTAATGAAAAAAAGTGTTAAACTGCTGCACTTCAATTATTACCGCGCGATAACAAACTGATGTAACGCGCGAGATCACGATCAAAAATTGATAATTCGTAGGTGCGCGTGTTACAATCACCAACCCTTTATAAACGCTATATTATATTTCGACGATAATAACCGACGATTTTCGATTAACGCACACGTGTTCTCGTAATCTTCCGAGAACGAATTGAAGCGAGATAAAAACACATACCGTCGATTATCACAAGCACGTTAACGGTAACGACGCGTGATAGCCGCGGTTTTTGCGGTTAGTTCTTATCGTGATTGTGCATAGTGAACTTTTTTTAGAGTCTCACTTTTTTAAGAGACGCTAATTTAACAATATTTTATATGTAAACGAATTCAATATCTTTTCAAGTTTTCAATATCTCTCAAAAAATAATCGCGCAATAATAATATTAATACTAGTAATAATTTTAATAATATCAATACTAGCGATTATTTTATTACAGATGTACGTTAATTTAATTACGTTTATGTGTAGACGCGCATATTTATCGCGATACATCGCAAGAGAGATCGCGTAAAATAATGACTTCGTATCATACAGCATATATAACATGTACATACATATTGTATGTAAAAATAAAAAGATATCTTAGATTACAAATGCCTCATGATTTTTATGACCGTTTCATACGGTTCAAGGCTGTAAATGACATGCAAATATCACCGCGTTGCGATAGCTTGCCGAGACCGATTGTACGTTACGTACATAGTGTTACGTACAGAAATACATATTTTGGCGCGTGTTCATTGTATGATGACCGACGAGTACTTAGTAATACATGAAGTTGGTAATTAGTATCCCACGATAAGTATCGGGAAGGGGGGAGTCATTTAAAATGAATTACAAAATCGCTTGTGTTTCATTCACGATGCGAATTTTCATTATAGTTAAAGATAGCGCCGAAGGAGCGAGATTACAATAATTATATAACGCGTGATGTAAAAGAATTCCGCGCGAGGCAACGTTTACCATGTTAACTGAATTGCGTGTCAATGCTGTTGTTTTCAACAGGAAAAGAATATTTTACATGTTTAAATATCTCTCACTGAGGCAATATTTTTAGCATTAACAAGTAGTTAGGAACTCGCTCGCTATTTTTTTCTTTTTTAATCTGTAAATTCGACTTTTAAAGAGAGAGAGAGAGAGAGAGAGAGAGAGAGAGAGAGAGAGAGAGACAGAGAGAGAAAGAGAGAGAGTCGATATATTAAATATTTTAGATTTAAACATATATTACTCGACATATTAATTTCACAGGAGACATTCGATTGTGACAAATGTCAATAGAATGTTAATAGATACAGCACGAATAATTGAGAAAAGTGGTCTCGGCACGATTCTGCGTTGGTCGACCACGACGTAAACGAGATTTCAATTGGCATTTGCGGCGTGTGCCGGGGAATGTATTTTCCTCATCGTAGAGCATCGGGAATGGGTTAAAAATGTTCTCGGCATGCGCGCCGTGTCACGTTTCTCGGATTCGGCCCGTTCACGAACGACGAAAATCGTGACGGCGATATTCGTGGCCGAGAGGCAGCGCCGTAATATGCAAATCTCGGCCGAATCTTCGACGGACACCGGCGACGCTTTCGCATCGTGTAATTTAAGCGTCGAGTCGTATCGCCGATACATTAAACCAGTCATGAGGCAAGTTGATAAGACGGGCGGATGATCGGCGGATGTCGTAAAATACCGCGGCGAAACCGATCTCGCGTTATCATGCAGGTTTCAATTGCGTCGAAACGGGATTTCATCTCGGCGAGACACGTGGCGCGACTCCAATCCCGCGAGACAAAAAGAAAAAGAGGCGAGATCTACAAGTCGCAATTATTTTAATTAACTGCGAGTTTGTTGAAAGTTAATACACGTTAATCCAACGATGCGACGCACTGCTAATGGATTTCGAAAATTAACGAATGGAAATTAATGAACATTGACGTATTAAACGAATAAATATCTCGATTATCGTACGCCTCAATCAGACATTATCGTCCCATGCGGATTTTACCCACGAATTTTTCCTATCTGCAATATCTATCGCCATTATGCAAACAGACACAATGAGATAGAGATAGAGATGATGGGAAACGATTACTAAATTAAGAGATAACGATATTGCGAGAGGAGAGAGCGTTAAAAAACTATTAGGATGTGTCACATCTATTTTTATAATTTGTATAATTTTCAATGAAAAAAATTATAAAAAAATTTGCAGATTATTCTAAATAAAATAAAATTCAGTAAGTGCTAAATTCAAGTAATACAAAAAATTTTGCGGCATAATAAAAAAAAATGTTTATTATTCAAATAATTTTATTTTATTTAGAATAACCTGCAATCTGTTTACAATTGTTTATTGTAAATGTTATAAATAAAAATAGGTGTAATATTCTTAAACGACGCCGTCGTTCGATAAAATTCTAAAATAAAATCTTCAAAAATAAACGGCAATCAATTGCGCATTTAAATTTTTGATCTATCGTCAATCTCGGAGGAAGATGGAACGTAAAG